AAACCATGGTACATACGGTGGAATTCTACGCTACTTTGAAGAACAAGGAAGCTGCAAGCCACCACATAACATGGATGAACATTGAGTACATTATGCTGAGTGAAATTAGTCAGTCACTAAAGGAGATATACTGTATAAGACTATTATTGTAAAAGACTAAGAAAAAGAACCTACCCCAAAGAGAGGGGAAAAACAAAGAAATCTAAAAATACAAGTGCTGATCACCAGTATGTATGGGATGAGAGGTGGGGATGGAGGGAATAAAGAGCACAGGGTAGGGAATAGACACAGGAGAGCCTGGGAGTGGGGTGGTGGTGGGAGGTTGGCAATACACAAGAAGGGGGAGGGGAAAAAGAAGAACACAGCAGACAGAACGGTTGGGCAGGTTCCCATGGGCTAGGTGAGACAGAGCTAAATGATGAGGTATGCACAACCCTGGAATAACAGTACTTCAGGATACAGGGATTGAGGCATGGCTTGAAAGAGGGAAAAGAGGGGAATAATGTTAGGATGCTTGGCTGTCTTTTGAATCTTGGACTCCCTTGCCTACCATTGTGCAGTAGACACTTGCGGGTGCGGAGACAGCCAGAAGCATCACAACAGAAAACACGTGGGCCCGGATCCAGCCTATAACTAACTGGAATACCTTGGTGTGTGTGTGGGGGTGGGGCAGGAAACTACCCAGACCCAAAATGGAGGGGGGGGTGGCTGTGGGGTGTATCCTTTGGTTATTTGATGAGACACGGAGGGGATTTTAAGCATTGCAATGAAATTAAATAGGATAGGGTGAATGTGAAACTGAAGTGGGACAGAGGCAAATAATGATGTATGTAAAACCTTGGAACAACAGGGCTCTGGGATACAGAGATTGAGACATGATTTGAATGGGGGAAAGGGGGGAATAATGTTAAGATGCTTGGCTGTCTATTGAGTCTTGCTTCCCCCTGGCATACCATTATAAAATAGACACTGGAGGGGGAGAGAAAGGAATAGCCAGAAATACCACGATAGAAAGCTTGTAAGTCTGTCTTCTGCCTATAACTGATTGGAATACCTAAAATAGGGATACAACGTGCCCAGCGAAGGAGGCTTCCTGTCCTTGCATTACACAAGACCATAGATGGAATCCTGAACAGCATCTAGAATCTTCTGAGGGTAAAGGTCCACTTGAAAGGACAATTAGGCCAGCCTGGAGTCGCCAGAAGAACAGAAGATACGTCCTGAAAGAAAGACTGACAAGAAAAATACAAAACAATATAGGCAGGCCAACTGATTACTACAATAACAAACAAGTGGCTCACCCAGGAGACATCAAGGCAAGTGGTCAGGTCCCCCTCAAGGCATACCCCCTTCTAAGACTAAGGCTCAATGGGAATGCATGCTCTGATTGGTGACCATGTCTGCCACCGATAAGGGGAAGTGAGGGAAAAACAGCAATGAAGATGTGAGCTAAGCCCTACAACACTCAATAGACTCCTGTGAACCCAGATGGAGACGTGGTGGGCCAGCAGTGTGCCAAGTCCAGGGAACTCTTGTACCCAGAGTCAGCGACATAGCCACAGAGGACTAGAATGGAGAGTGAAGCATCCAGCTGATAAGAAGAGAGGGCACATGTATAAGTATACCCACACTTGCAGATAACACCCACTTGACCGGCTTCATTGGCTGGAGGATCAGAGCTCAAACAGAAGAAGAAAGAAGAGGGAAAAAAGAATAATCTGATACAATTTGATGAACTTGACAAACACCTATGGAAGCAATAGCTCAAAAGAATGAACAAATCATCTTCACAGTGAGGATCATTCCCACCTCCTCCGCACGCAGAGAGGACAGGAATGGGCAACTTGGACATTGGCTACTCAGAATGGGGGCGCTACAGAGGCAAGAAGTGACTGGCTTCCAAGAGGGAACCTAGATCCAAAGGGCGTGGAGCAAGGTAGTATCTCTACTGAGTAGTATCCATTCTGCCTAGTCAGGGCTGATGAAAGAAGATGCGGCTAGGTCTCATGCAGACCTGCGATACAATAGCGAATAATTGTTATCAGGACTGATTATAAGGGCTGGATTGTTTGGAGAACTCATAGGACTCAGCAGCTAGCCACACTCACAGCTCTGACTGGTTACTGGAAAGGACACAAAGCAAAATCAGCAAATGGAAAAGGCACATGAATGAAGTCAAACTGAGTGCAAGCTTTCAAGACAAGAGTCCTCTCCCAGTGGAGTCAAACTTGTTAAGTGCCATTGGTTAGGTTACGACTCATATCGACCCTGTATAGGGTTTCCAAGGAGCAGCTAGTAGATTTGAACTACTGACCTTGTAGTTCCCAGTCCAGTGCTGGTCCTACGTTTTCCCCAGCAATGAGCTGTGAAAACACTTGTGAAATGTTTCCTGAGGAAATGCTCAGAAGACTCGATGCCTAAGGTTTTTATTGAAGGCTGCTCGTTCTATGTGTGCAGTGTACCCATATCTCAGACTTCAGAAGTGCTCAGCTGTAAACCATATTTTTTGCACAATCACGTCACGCACAGTGAGGTATTCGTATCCTGGAGTAGTGAGAACCCTTCCAAAATCCAAGTTTCTAAACACCAACCAAGGGCCAACCCTACAAGCAAGGGTTTCTAAGGCTGATAGTCGAGGCCTTCTATGCTAATTCTTTTCTACACAGTTTCTAAATTTGCTTGTTTTTTTACTTTAAGTTTACTGGAAGTTCAGATTTGTGTCCTTATTTGAGGCACCAGTTAGATGGACGTAGTCTGTTGGCGTATAAGGAGAAATAATGGGCAGAGTTAGTAGGTGTTTTACTTTTCCACGCAGTGATTTTGACTGCCTGCAGCCTGTGAAATGTTTCTCCTGACCTGACAGGTCTGCTGCTTGCTCTTGTTTAATCAGAGTAATTCACACTGTCCTGCCCTGACTGTCAGACCCTCCCTTCAGGCCTTCTCTCATAGCAGTGACTTATAGCAACCCTGTGACACTGTGGAATAAGTACTGGACTGCTAACTGCAAAATTGGTGCTTCCAACTCAGCATCTGCTCCTCAGAACTGACTTGATGGCATTTAACAATTACAACATATACGGTTTACAAGACTCTGAATCTTTATGGGAGCAGACAGCCTCATCTTTCTCCCATGGAGTGGCTGGTGGGTTGAACCACCGATTTTTGGGTTAGCAGCTCAATGCCTAACCCACAGTGCCACCAGAGCTCTTTCCCTGATGTCAGAGGGTCCTTTTTCTTGTTTGCAGGTGGGCCTTGGGGCAGTCTAGATGCTGGCTCAGACCTGAGGCCCCTGTGTGCCCCTCTGGAAAGAAACCACGGGAGGGAGAGGTTGAGTAGAAAGGTACCTTTGTAATTAATTTCCTTTTAAAACCTGTGTTTTTTGAAATGTTTTCCTAGGAAATCTTACTTTTGGATTTGAAACCTCTTTACCTTTGAGTTTTGAGCTTCAGTTTTTGTTTCTTTTCCTGGCTTAAAAAATTTCACCTTTTGATGATTGATGGGTTAGGGCTGTTTTCTGTTCATCACCATCTTGCTTCTCATTGGGTAGGTTCCTTTTCCAGCTAACCAGCCCCTCTTCTCTCCACTGTTGGCACCTTAGAGGTCATGCAGCAGTGGTTCCGGGGTGGGGTGGAGGAGGGAATCTAAGGAGGCTCTTGTTGTGCTGGCTGCTTGCATCATTTATATTTGAGTCTGGCCACCTGTGTCCTCTTGCCCCTGGCATGAACTGATGTACTTATATCATCCTGCCTGTAAACTGACCTGTGTGCCTATTTTTATCCACGCTATCTAGTCCACATTTTTTTTGCCAACACTAGTAGCAACCTGGGATGCAGTAGGGATTTACTTGTCACTGACTGTGGCTGAACTAAGTTGGTTCTCTGCTTGTGGCAGCGTCTTTAAATGTGTCCTATCCCCCAGGGCTCTTGTCTCAAGTCAGAGCAGGTGGGCCAAAGCAAGAGGAACTGCCTAACACTTTACTTTGTGAGAGGCTTGTCACTAAATAGTCCTTGCTGACTGGAGTCTTTGCCACAATGCTCCAGCTCTGAGGACAGTGCATTGCGGAGTGGCCACTCTGTGGATGGGCTGTTGAGCACTTAAAATGACTCAGAAACTAGATTCTTCATTTTACTTAATGTCAGTGAATTTACATAGCTACATATGGCTGCTGGCTCCTCTGTGTGACAGTGTGGGCTGCAGAGCAGGACTACCTTGACTGACATTTCAGTGTGTGACCAAGGGAGGGGTCCTTGTGTGGTGCTCCAGGATAAGTACTGGACTGAAAGGTTGTTTGAACTGCAAAGTTGGCAGTTCAAATTCACCAGCTGCTCTTTATCAACCCCATACAGGGTCTCTATGAGTCGGTACCTAAAGGCACCTGATAACAAACACCACCACCATGAAGAGCTTCATAACTTTAGGTAACTGTTTTGGGAATTTGTTCTAATTCACGTAAAGGGCTTAGAACAGTGTCCCACAAGAACAGAGTGTATTTAGTTAAAGTATTGTTAGCTGTTATATTATGGAAGGCGTTCTGGTAGTGTATGGTTACCGGTTGGGCTGCTGATCTCATGGTTAGCAGTTCGAAACTACCAGCTGTTCTGTGGGAGAAAGTTGAGGCTTTCTGCTCCTGTAAAGATTGACAGCCTCGGAAACCCTGTACAGGGTCGCTGTGAGTCAGAATTGACTCCAAGGTACACTAACCACCACCATTGTATCATGGAGTCCTGGTGTGCTGCTGTAGGGCGAGCACTAGGCTGCTAACCACACGGTCATTGGTTCAAACCCAGCAGCAGCTCCTTGGAAATGCTATACAGGGTAGCCGTGAGTCTGCACTGACTCAATGGTACTAAATAACAGCCTGTTATGCTAACTCATCAGTTTGAGATGGGATGGTGGAACAGTTCATGTGGAATGTGAAACTTCCATACTGTTTAGTATTTTAAAATTTTCAAAAATACTTACTTTTTTTTGGTTTTAAAAAATTATTCTTTTTGTTCTAGGTTGCTGCAGCAACTGGCCACACAGTAGTGCTGGTTGACCAGACAGAGGACATCCTGGCAAAATCTAAAAAGGGAATTGAGGAAAGCCTTAAGAAAGTGGCCAAGAAGAAGTTTGCAGAGAACCCTAAGGTAATTTCATGTTACTGATATCCTTCCGATCAGCCCTCTGACCACAAACGTATCTGTGAAGGGATACTGGTCTTGATGTGCTTTTTTGTTTGTTCATGTAAAACTCATTTCCCTATGTTTGTAGATGACAATAGCAGTCACAAACCCTTCGATGAATAAATAACTACATTGCTGGGTGGTGTGGTTGAAGGTTGAGGCCACAGTTTCTACAGATGGTGAGCTCCTTTTGTCCACTGAGAATTTGGGAATGAATAACGCCTATTTTGTCATAAAGCTGAAAGGAGAGACAAGAAGATAAGTTTTGTATTTTCAGGCTAACATGAGAGTGATTCATAATAAACCTTTAGAGACTTTTGGTTACTTAAATGATATCCTCTGTGCCCATTTACTTTATACTAGAGAAGAAATTATAGGGTGGGTGATTGTCATTTTCCAGAAAGAGGCACAGGAACTTGAGGGAGTCTTAGAAAGTTGGGAACCTTGGCTTACTGACTCTCTCATTGGATCATGCTGCTTTTCCATGGCATGTTCACTTCGCAATTGACTAGAGATACTGAAAAAGTCATTCGAGTGAATTTTTATTTACCTTTGCCACCTTGTTAAAGTTGCGTAAGGTTTGTTTTCTTGGGACTTGGATGAGATTTATCTCCTCAAGCAGGCAAAGAAGAGTACAAATATATATGCATTTTTAACCTGAGGTAATCTTTGATGATATGTCTATCACCGTTAAAACTGAGGTGGATTGATGGTGGTGGATATTTTTACTCTCTCCCGGAATAAATCCAAACAGTAAAACTCACGGGCCGATTAAGCTCTCCTTCACCTGTTCCCCATATTGTTAATCTATGTTGTTGTTGTTATTAAGTGCCATTGAGTCAGTTCCTACTCATAGTGACCCTATGTAGGGTTTCTGAGGAGCAACTTTTGGGTTTGAACTGCTGACCTTATGGTTTCCAGTCCAGTGCTTACCCTGCAGCGCCACACCCAGGAGTCCTATTAATCTATGTGGTTGTTGTTGTTTTGTGCCGTGGAGTCGGTTCCAACTCATAACGACCCTGTACAGGGTTTCTAAGGCTGTAAATCTTTATGGGAGCAGAAAGCCTTGTCTTTCTCCCGCAGAACAACTGGTAGTTTCGATCTGCTGACCTTGTGGTTTGCAGCCCGATTCGTAACCACTGTGCTACCAGAGGGGTACCAAATATAGGGAGGGCAATGATGAGGTTCTAAGCAGGTAGGATTACAAGAATCCTGGGTTGATGGTTGGAATTAAGGACAGAGTGATTCTGAGCCAGACATACTGCATTTTTCACTTGTTTACTGGAAAACATCTCCTTATCTCCTGGTGGACACGGAGAAGACAGGGGTGGATGGCACCTGGTTGACACATTGTCTTTATCTAACACTGTGCTGACCAGTATGGTAGCTACTAGTCATATGTGACTATTGATTACTTTAATATGGCTAGTATAAGTTAAGATGTGTTATAGTTGTAAAATAAGATACCAGCATTCAAAGACTTAGCACAAAAAGAAAAATAGATTTAAAACATCCAATAATTTTTTATTTTGATTACATGTTAAAATAATAATTGTTGGATTAAAATAATTTAAGTTTTTCTACTTAATGCAGCTAATAGGAAACTTTAAATGACGTATGTGTCTTGCATTGTATTTCTGTTGAACAGCTCTCATCTAGTTTATTTCAAGATGATTTGGGATACCTTTGCTGATTATCAACATTTTGATGCCCCAGGAACAAATTGTATCTGGAAATACAATGGCAGATGAAGAGGCATTGCCTCTGCTGGTGCCCTACATGGGTTTAGTTTGTGGAAACCTGGCCTAGCAGAAGGAAATGAGGAAAAGATGAGACTGCAGATTCTGAGAGCAGTGGCTGTGCTTAGCTTGATTTTGAAACACCAGTGGCTGGCCTTTGATAGGCAGCTACTGTTTGTCAAATCACTGAAGTTTGGCTTTTCACCCGGGCTCCAGCCCTTACTCAGCTCTTCTCTGCCACCTATTAGAGGGAGTAGTCAGCACCACTGTAAGACTAATGGAGGGTGCTGAGCTAAGGCTTTTGCCCTGTCCTGGAAGGATAATTTACAGGCTTCATGGAAAGTCTGAGAACAGATGTTGTGGGTCAATACATAGGTGCTATGAACAGATGATTCAGTAACCAGAGCAGAGCTGAGTAAGGACTTGAAAGATGATGACTGACACAGGACAGTGGTAGCTAACAGTTGGGATTGGTAGTTTGCTGGCCAGCACTTGCTTCAGTATCTTGAGATGCCAGTCATCATAGGCAGCAATGTAAGAGTTCAGTTTTCAGGATTTTAAGGTGCGTACAAATGTGGTGTCGGGGCACGGTGGTCTGTCCTAGCCCTTCTCCCTCCTTCTGCAGTAGCACCAGTTTCACAAGAGGTCAGTGAATATTCTCTTCTCCTTCCTCCCACTGCATTAGGCCACTGATGAATTTGTTCAAAAGACCCTGAGCAGCATATCGACCAGTACGGATGCAGCATCTGTGGTCCACAGCACGGACCTGGTGGTGGAGGCCATCGTTGAGAATCTGAAAGTGAAGAATGAGCTCTTCGCAAGGCTGGACAAGTTTGCTGCTGAGTACGTTCCCAGGACGTTGTTGTTGTGTTCTGAGGGCTCCCTCCCAGGGGCTCAGATTTTTCTCCTTGCTTATTGCCTCCAGTTAGAAGGGATCTTCTTACACTAAGTCACTTCTCTTTATAACACTCCACTACTATTTCTAGAAGAGGTAGCCCTGGTTTTCTGTTTGTTTGTTTCTGTTTGTCTGTGGCTTGGTCAGCCCTGATATGATCCTTGTCCCAAGATTCAGGTGGACTTTCTTTCCTGCAGCAAAATAGAAGGCTGTGCCCAGGATAGGTCTTTATGTCTCTTGCAGTGTCTGGGCCGTGGGCACCTTCATGCCAGAGGCTCGTGCATGTCAGTCAGTGTCTGCTGAGGAGCCTCAGAGCGGCTTTGCATTGCTTCTTTTCATGGTGGATTAGATGGAGTGGTGTAATTGAAGGGGATGCCCTTCTACCTGTATACATTCCCCAAGACTTTGCTGTCTAGTTCTTTCTCTGGGTTAAACTCGAATGCACTTAGGAACATTTGACAACCAGGCTTCTTGGCCAAGGGAGCAGCAATAGGAGATACAACCACACATAAGTCAGATGCACAGATACCTGAGTCTCAAGACCAGGTACAGTGTCAGCAAGCATGTGCTAAACTCTAGATCACCTTGAATTCAGAGCCGTAGGTTGTGTTTGATTCTTGGCTTTGGACCATTACACTACCTGATTGATATATTTGCGTTCTCCTTGTGGCTTGCTTGGTTGGGACTGGAAGTCAGAATAAGATAATGTGTCACAGAAATGATCAGGTAGCCACCAGTGACCATGACTAGAGAGAGATACTTGCAGGCCATCCTGCTGAAATGTCAGCCCTGTGGTCCTGACAAGAAGAGACCTATCTTTTTGTGAGCTATAATTCCCTCTCCTGATCAGCATGCTCATGTACTGTTCACTGGCATTTAGGGGCTACAGAGACATCTGACAAAAACAGAAGATACTCTTGGTCAGGCAGAGCCCTCTAAGATCGTAAAGTACCCCACCCCAGGAAGAAATGTTTCCTCAAGCAGTTTGGCGTTTGTGAAGATGTTAGTCATTTCCAGTAATCAGTGGTAGGCTTGAGTACTCTCTTGGGCCAGTATGAGGGATGGAAGGAATGTGAAATGAAAGTCAGGAGAGCCGGGGGTCTGATGACATCACTTCACTCTCTGACTTTGGACAATCCTTATTTTATCATTTTTCTTTTCTTTTTTTTTTAAGGTTTTTATTGTGAATTGAGTGAAAGTTTACAGGGAAAATCATCAGTTTTACATTCAACAACTCATATACCTTGTTTCATTACAATGATTATAATTCCATGTACCATCAGTTAACAGTATTTCTCTCTATCCACTTTAGCTTTGAAAAAACAAAAATACTTAGGAATATGCAATTTACACCACCAAAGGACACTTTCTGCAAGTCTGCCTCCTGACCACCAGCTCTTTCTTAGTCCCTCTCTTCCCATGAATCTAGAGTCCTCAGCTGCTCCTTCTCTCCATGTCCCCATCTCTGCCTCTTTTCTGGCCTCGCTGCTTCATAAGGTCCTGCATTCTGCTTGTGCTCTTCTCCCTTGATGGTCCTAAGGTCCTCTGTTTCTGGACTGTAAGATTAACCACTCCCCTGTTTTTGTTACAAAACTTCTACCTTTACAATTGTGACAGTAGCAAATAGTCATGATAACAGTTATTTACTATCGAATCATACAAATCTTATCCCCATCTCTTTCACCAGACCCATCTAGACTAGATGAAAACTATTCAGTGGGGACGCTTTCTTCCCACCGCATACTCTTAAACTAAACTCCCTCTTGAAACCTTGTAAGCCAGTCACTTGATGCCTTTTATCGACCCCTCTTTTTAGGTAGCCAATGTCTACATTGCCCATCCCTATCTACCCTGTATACAGAGCAGATAGCATTGATACTTGATGTGAAGACTTCTTCCCTATCTGTTGGTATTAGAGTTACTACCTCCATGAGTATAGGTCAGGTTCATGAAATTGTAGCAATTTACCCTTGTTTTCTCTATTTAAAAAAAAAAAAATTGTGATCTTCCTTTAGTCGAGTTCTGATTATTGATTATCAAGCCATCAAGGCTAGGTCAAATGGGTAATTGTCTGCAAGTTTGGTTGTTCTTGTGCACTTCCCCTTACTTCATAGCAGCTGGATGCTTCACTCTCAGCATTAGCCCTCTGTGGGTATGTCCTTGTCCATGGGCTCAGGTGTCCCCAGGCCTCACCACACTTTGGACCAACCAGCCCTTCCTCTTCTCTCTCTCATTTCCAGGTCAACAGGAGTCAATGGACTGTGGTTGAACTCAGACCATTTCTTCATTGCTTACTGTCTTTCCCCCTCTTCCACTCACCAGTAGACCAATTTGGTCATCAGCAAGCTTACATGCCTATTCATGTACTCCCTTTGAGTTTTAGTCTTAGAGGGGAGTTTGTCCTGAGGAACTTGATTGCTTGTCTTGATGGCTTCCTGGAAAACAGCAGTCATGTTGACATTTTTGTTTTGGGTTTTTCTTTGTGATCTTTCTTTGAAGATATACCTTCTGTTGCTCTAACTGTTCCACGCTGGTCTGCTTGTCCTTGTTAGTGGGAATGTACCACCTCATAAGGTTCTGCATGGGACTCAGGATTCCACGTAAGGTCCTATACTCTGCAAAGGCTTTGCACGAGGCCTATTTCACTGGGCAAGTTCTAGAACCCCTTTTAGTTATTCCAATCAGTTATAGGCTGAAGACGGGACTACAAGTTTGTAATCATGTTTCCCAATATTCCTTTCTTTCCCACTCAAGTGTTTATTTTATAATAGTAGGCAAGGGAAACCAATATTCATAAGACAGTCAAGCATTTTAGTATTATTTCCCCTCTTCAAAATATTCCTAAATCCATATATCATAGAGCCCTATTGTTCCACGGTTGAGCATGCATCACTATTTACCTCTGCCCCACTTAGGCCATGCAAATCTGTCTCAGTGTTCCCCTATCTATCTTGTACTTCCACCTCCTCCCCCTTCTTGTATTGCCCTCCCCAACACCCGTACTAAACCCACCACCCCAACCCCACTGTTTTGGTTGCCTTATATTCCATTAATTTTTCCTCCATTTAAGACAGTCTATTTTATCCTGTAATCTACCTGATCTCACCACCTGGATCTCTGTTCCTCTGTGTTTACCTTATTTCACATTGTATTTGTGTTGATCGTAGACTGACCGCCAAGATCCTCTGTTCTTATAGTTTTATTCTGTTCTTGACTCTTCCGTTTGTCCATTGAGTTCAGGGTGATGCTGCTACATACGTCATTCTCTGGTTGTTATCTGTTCTTGTTGGTTCTCAGTCCACAGAACTTCCTTTAGGATGTTTTTCATAGCAGGATTTGCTTTGGCAAAATCCTTTAGCTTCTCTTTATCCTGGAATGTTCTGATGACACCATCGTATTTGATTGACAGCTTTGCTGGGTAGAGGATTCTTGGTTGGCAGTTTTTTTTCTTTCAGGGTTTTATATCTATGTCTCACCATCATTGCCTTCTTGCCCACATGGTTTCTGCTGAGAGATCTGAGCTTAATCTGATTTGCTTGCCTTTGTATGTTACACTTCTCTTTTCCCTAGCAGCTTTTGGGATTCTGTCCTTATTTTTGATTTTGGAGAGCTTGATTATTAATATGTCTTGGTGATTTTCTTTTAGGGTCTGACCTTTCTGGTGTTCATTGAGCTTCTTGAATTATTATCTTTTCACTTTTCAGGATGTTAGGGAAATTTTTTTCCAGCACATATTCAACTATCTCCTCTATGGACTTGTGTGATTCTTCCTGTTCTGGAATGCCAATAATTCTTAAGTTATTACTCTTCATGATGTCCAACATGAATCTTAGGCCTTCTTCAGATTTTTTTAAATCCTTTTTTGTGCTTGCTCTTCTATCTTATTAGTGTTGAGAGATTTATTGTCTAGCTCACTAGTTCTGGCTTCTAGCTCTTCTATCTATTCTACTCCTTTGCCCTTTCAGGGTATTGTCCATTTCTGATATTGTGTTATTAATCATTTGGACCTCTTACTGTAGGTTTTGAGTTGTTTCCAGTGCTGTATGTATCTTATTTGATTGTTCGTATAGCACTTTCCTGAGTTATTCCTTATTTTTCTCAACTCCATTGTATAGTGTTTTGATAAATTTTATAATAATTTTTCTGAACTCTTTCTCAGGCATTTCTAAAGCTTGCCCATCTTCCATTATGGAGTGTAGGTCTACTTCCAGCTCATTTGCCTCTGTCACTTTATCTCGTTTCTGGACATGTGCTGATATAGTCATCTGCTTCTGTTATTTGGGCATCTTCAGGGGTTATCTGTAGCCTTAATACTTAGATGGGTGTGTATTTTGTATTTTTTATGCTTTCTGATTGCCTCCAGGTAGATGTGATCAGGAGGTGGGCTTCCGTAATCTGTAAAATAACAGTTTCTTTTCTTAATGAAAGTGTGGAGCAGCTGGTAGCACAGTCTTGGGTCAGGGTTGCCCCTGCTGCCTTTGTGGGCTTTACACACCCCCAGGCACTTTCAGGGTGTGGGGCTAAAGGTGTCGGCCATATACCTTGTTACTGGCAGAGGGTCTTTCATTGTTGATCTGTGTAATGGGGGGTAGTTTATATTATTTACCCCACTGTCTTTGAAGTTGTTTGGGAAAGTAATGACAGCGAAGGGTCTTAAGTAGATCCCTCAGTCTCATAGCAGCTGTCTTTTATCTATTGCACAGGCTTTTCCTTTCACCTCACTCTCCTCTCCTTTTTCCAAATTACTTGTTTCCACTGCCTTTCTTAAGGATCTCTAGTAGCATAGTGGTTATGTATCAGGCTGCTAACCTCAGGGTCAGCAGTTCAAAACTACTGGTTGTTCTTCAGGAGAAAGATGAGGCTTTCTACTCTGTAAAGATTTACAGCCTCAAAACCCTGTACAGGGTCCTCACTATGAGTTGGAACCGACTCCACCGACTTCATGGCTACTGGTGGCTACCTGATCATTATTTCTGTCATACATTGTCTTATTCTGACTTCTAGTCCCAAACAAGTCACAAAAGAACACCACCACTGCCTTTCTTATGGACTTGGAGGAGAATATTGAAAGTGCCATGGGCTGCCAAAAGAACAAACAAATCGTTGGAAGAAGTACAGCCAGAGTACTCCTTGGAGGCCAGGATGGCCAAACTTTGTGTCTCATACTTTAGACATAGTGTCAGGAGGGACCAGTTGCTGGAGAAAGGATATCATGTTTGGTAAGGTGGAGGGTCAGAGAAAAAGAGGAAGACCCCAGTTGGCAAAGTGACAGCATCAGTGGGCTCAAGCATGGCAACAATTGTGAGGTTGGCCCAGGACTGGGCAGTGTTTCATTCTGTTGGTGCATAGGGTCACTATGAGTCGGTACCGACTCAATGGCACTTAACAACAATAACAACTGCCTTTCTCCTTCAGTTTCAAGCAGATTTTGGTTTTGCAGAATCAGTCCTTTCTCTACTGTGACCAGGTCTGTGCTTTTCTAATCCACAAGGTGGCGCTATAGGAAAGCCTAGAAGTTATGTGTGTTTAATGTTTAAACATTTGGTGGTGGTAGTTATGTGCTGTGGAATTGGATGGGACTCCTAGAGACCTTGCACAGGGTTTCCGAGGCTGTAAATCTTTATGGGAGCAGAAAGCCTCATCTTTCTCTCGCGGAACAGCTGGTAGTTTCGAGCTGCTGACCTTGAGGTTCACAGCCTGATTTGTAACCACTGCGTTACCAGGGCTCTAGTATACTTACTGTTTATTTGGTTTGAGTCAGTAAAGATTATTTTTTAAATTAATAATGTAACATTTTGTAGTACTGCTTTTATAAGGGAATTTTATAAGCAGAAAACCTTGAAAGTGTTATCTGTCCTTTCCCAAAACTACCTGTGTAACCTGACAATTTCTTTTTGAACAGTGCTAGCTTTCTTCTGTTTTAATTTTTTTTTTTTTTCAGTGGAATAATATAAAGCTTTGCGCTTGGGGGTAAGAGATTTGAGTTCATGTTTACTAATGAGATGTTTCTCGTTGAGGGTTCAAGTGTTTCTTTACGGTTTTTGTTTATGTGGGTTTTTGTGCTGCATCTGGTTTCCCTTCACTAGCCTTTGGTGACTTAGAATTTTCATTTTGTGACAAAGGTTAAATAGCTGCCTCATTCTTATGTACCATGGTAACTAATACAAGCAGAGAGGAGCTATTGGCAAAGATAACATACACCCGGGGGACTGATAACTTTTAAATGGTTTAATTTAAAATTTCAAAATGTAAATTAAACCATGGTCCCTTGACTTCAGTCTCTTGTGTAAAGATGTGTCTTTCTTCCAACTTCCTCCAGGTCAGGACAGCAGACCTGCTGTGCATGCCTTTCAAAGAAGAGACTCATTCCAACCCTTTACCATTTTTCTCTCTGCAGACACACGATCTTTGCCAGCAACACTTCCTCTTTGCAAATCACAAGCATAGCCAATGCCACCAGCAGACAAGACCGATTCGCCGGGCTCCACTTCTTCAACCCAGTGCCCGTAATGAAACTCGTGGAGGTCAGTGGGTACCTGTGAACTCTGCTGGTGCTCTCAGTGCTGCTTTTCCGAGGGGCACGGGCCCTGCCATCAGGGGACTGCATCCGCTTGATTTTGTGGCTGGCTAGAAGGTTGTCCTTCTGCATGTGTTTCTCTTGTCATAGTCTGCTTTTCTGGAGCTAAAGGAAAACCTGTGTTTTGACCAGTGATGTCTAGGAGGACTGTTAACTTTTTGTGTAATGTTATTGCTTGTGTCAGAGCTGGTGGGACATCATATTGGGAGGACAACCTGAAAGGCCACTTGGTTGTGGAGAACACAGAAGGGCAAACCACAGCATGGTAATCTCATGAAGGCTGTCAGTGGAATTCCTATTAGGCTGACCTGGTTCTACACAGAAGCAACTATACCCTAGCCCCAAGCAACAGTGCCTTGGTATTGTCCTCAGATGAGGCACGCCTCCTGTGTTGTGATCACAAGCAGTAAAAGCAGATAAGCACTTGACTTCAAGGTAAGTTTGAACTGCTAGGTTGGCAGTTCAAGCTCACCAGCTGCTCCTTGGAAACCCTATACAAGGTCACTATGAGTGGGAACTGACTTGATGGCATTTAACAATAACAACAATAGCCTTTAACCTCCTGACCACAGCCAGAGAGGCAGAGGGAAGTGGCCAAGGGGAGCTGCCCCCAGCATTCCTGTTTGGACTGCTTCTGTTTAATTGCTTGGAGACGGGGTTATGAGGGAGATGGAGTCACAATAGACAATTTGCACCTGAAATGTGGCAACTTGCCTTTTACAGGGGGCTAATTACAGGGTCTGAAGAGCAGCCGCTATTAAAGTAGCATTTGTTCAGAGGTTGAGGAGTTATTGCCGTGCGAAGTGTGGGGGACGCTGTCCATGTGGGTGATGTGGAGTCAGCAAGCCTCCTAGACTGGCTGTGGCCTCACGGGGAGTGGGTGTCAGGGTCTGTTTCTTCTTCAGCGTCCTTTTCTCTCCTTTTTCCCCTCCTTACCACCCACAGAAGAAAAATTGACTTCGACTTTAATAGTGGCTCCATTCTCTAATCGTTTTCTCTCAAGTGGCAGTTGGCGCCATCTTGCAATTGAAATTTGTCTGTTCGGCTAACATTCCTCCCCAGCTTCTTTCAATTTACTCCTGATCCCTAAGGCAAATTTTGGAGACATTGGGAAAAAAAACGAAGGGGCAGGAAATGGGAAATAGAAGAAACAACATCTATACTTTTATGCAAAGAAAAATTAAAAGTAGCAGAATGGCGTTTTTAACATTTCAATACCTAGGGACAGATTAATATCTTTAGATATCATATTTTGTTCATGCTTAGGCTTATTTTTATAAGACCTTAGATTTAGAGAAGTTTTAGATTTATAGAAAAGTTGTAGAGGAAGTGTGAAAGTTCTCATATGTATCCTTTCTCTCCTGCACACTATTTCAAAATGGACAAGGGGGCTTCAAAAAGTTTGTGAAAAAAATCCCAGTATCTTTTAATTCCATTTGGCCTTGAACTTTCAGAAGCAACCTCATATTTTTAAATTGAGTACAAATTATGTAGATTTATTTCACACTCAATCAGCTGCATTTATCTGCTAATGTCCAATCATATCTTTAGTCTTTGGTTTAGTTATTGTTTAGCAAATGTTACCATTTTCTGGAAAATATTTCATAAAAGGGCTCTTCTGCATTTAATCTTTCATCTTTAACTTCAGCTCTTGTGTATGTGGCATTGATGGTGAGTGCCCAAGTAGATTGTACTATAAGCTGTGGGGTGCCTCTCCTTTACTTGAGACTGGACTCAGACATTTATATGTGTCTATGTTGTTGTTAAGTGTCATCCTGAGGCTTTAAATCTTTGCAGGAGCAGAAAATTTCATCTGGCTTGAACCACAAACCTTGTGGTTTGCTGTATTGTATGTAGTCTGTGCATGTGTATGTACATATATATCTGACTCACAACAACCCTGTGTAGAGTTTTCAAGGAGCAGTTGGTGGGTTTGAACTGCCGACCTTGTGAATCACAGTCCAGTGCTGATCTTACAGCACCACACTAGGAATATGTATATGTGTATGTATATATATATATATACATGTAAACTTTCGGTTGTAACTCTAAACTGAATCACTATATTGAATGAATGAATAAACATGTATCTCCTTCTAGACAACAACAACAGAAAACCTTTACTAATGTAGCAGCTCTTTGTCCTAGTTCAAGTTCTTTAGTTCTGATGGAAACTTCTTAGATATCTTTTTGTGCAAACTCTCAGATTGCTGCTTGATTTTGTACCCTAGCAGAGCAGTTTGTGGTCCATCTCCTCCTGCTCTTCGTCTTTATGGTGCTCTTTTCGGTTTTCACTAATTGACTCGTTTAGTGTCATCACGTACCACCACACCCCAGCCTGTGATCACATTAGAACAGGACTGGTAATAATCCTCTTCATTATATAGTATACCTTTCATCCTTTACAGACACTAGCTCATTAAACCATACAGCCCTCTTACAGGGGAGGATGTATCAAACACTATTATCCCCATTTCATAGTTGAGAAGGCAGGCATGGAGGGCTGATTTGACTTGTCTACGGTTGTAAAGATGCACAGAATCATATGTGTTGGAAATAGCTCACCAGCACCTTAGAACAATACAGTCACATAAAGGGTCTGGTGTTGGAGCCAAGCCTATTGCTCTGTCTCTGGTTAAAGTTCCCTGTAGTTGTTTTTAAGTGCTGTTGAGTAGGTTACAACTCAGAGCAGTCCTGTGTAGGGTTTCTAAGGAGTGGCTGATGAGTTTGAACCACCAACCTTGTGGTTTAAACCGACCTTGTAGTCCAGTACTTACCATACAACACCACACCAGGACTCCTTACTGGTGACATGAAATTTTCTTACTGACATGCAAATTTTGGATATAAAATGCCTCTCTCCATTTGTGGAAATTTCATGCCCAGCGAGGTGAGTTCCTAGGTGTGAGGGCTGTCAGGTGCTGTGCTAAATTGCTGTCTCCTGAAGATCCCAGCAGGCTGTACCCTTGTACTGTACCTGCATAGAAGGCCAGGAAGGCTGACAGGAGCCTTCTGAGGTGCCTGGCAGAGAGCAGGTCCACCCATGGGCCCGTTTTTCTGTAAATGTGGGGAGAGTATGTTCGGAAGCCCAGTACACCTGCTGGGCTGTTATGCATCTGTGTGGGAGAGGGGAAACTAACAGGCATGACGGTCATTCAGGGGCCTCAGAGACCTGGGACTTGAGTAAGTCACTCCATCTCTTAGAATTCCTTCTCATCTACAAGGAGCTTCAGAAAGTTCATGGTAAAACTCTTTCCATCCCATTTTCCACAAACTTTTTGAAGACCCCTTGTTTTGTCGTAACCTCCAGGGCCTGCATTCTGTGAGATGAGAATAGGAACAGAAGTTTAGCGTTTCTTTCTTTTTCCTCCCTTCCAGAATACTCTTAAGCACAAGCATCCTACCCAAGTGGACTTTGACTTTCCTCCCTGAAATAATTGACAAAGCAACTAAAACTAACAAAACCCAGCCTGTACCGAGCACTTTACTCCTTCTTCAGAAGACAGATGAGGCTTCTGTAAAGACAACAGCCTTGGAAACCCTATGTTCTGCAGGGTCACTGTGAATTGGAATAAATTCAATGGCTGTGGGTGGGGGGTTTGTTTGTTTGGGTTCATTCATCTATGGAACTGCACTTAGTGCTTTCCCATGACTCTCACCCACCTCACTCCTCACGGTGGCTAGAATGACTTCAGTTTCCAGAACCATGCTCAGTGTTTCACAACCAGCTAGTAGTGTGGCTGGATTTGAACCCATCTGTCTCAGCTTGTTAAGTGCCATGGAGTCGGTTCTGAAGCTGTGTCAATGACAGGCCTGCAAAACTACTATACACACACACACACACACACACACACACACACCCTCTTTTCAGCCTTTGTTTTGTATGTTCTTTACTGCTCCATTCTGATCAACGTTTTGTTTCTGGCTTGAGATCCATACTTTTGTTCTGAAACTAAAACTTTTTTTTTTTTTTTTTTTTGACTGTGTGCACCTTTTTGGTGGAGGTTATCTCAGACATGTCTTATTGAGATTATTTTCCTGCTCTCATATTATTGTTCTCTGCATTGTATTTCCAGGTCATTAAAACACCCATGACCAGCCAGAAGACATTTGAATCTCTAATGGACTTTAGCAAAGCCCTGGGGAAGCATCCTGTTTCTTGCAAGGTAAAGTATGGGTAGCTTGGGAAGGGGGTGGCCTTCCTGAAGCCTGGTGAGCAGCAGGGCGGGCGCTACAGACCTGTCGGCATGCTGTAGAAAGCAAGCTGCACGTGTGCTCGCCATGCCAGTTTACCAGGAGGGAAACCTGACTCGTCAGCCATGCGTAAGGCCATGGGGCGGGGGTAATCTGACAGCTGAATGGTGTCCAGGACTTCAGTACAACAAAAGATATGGGACTTCTCTCTGATCCTGGCTTTTGTCCATTGATGAGGAGCTCCATTTATATGTGATTTTTCTTAGTCCCATCAGCTTTGGCTTCTCGTCCTGGCCAGTCATAGCATCACTATGTGGCAGGCGCAGCCTGGAGGGCACATGGAGTACTATCCGTTAGGGTGCTTACCACCTAACACAAGAACTAAAGTTAAAGAATAGAAAATTAAATGGAGAAGGGCACTTTTACAAAACATTTTCCAGAAAATAGTTACTTTTGCTAAACATTAGCTGTTGACAACCAAAGTCTAAAGACATGATTGGACATGATCAGATAAACATGGCTGATAACAACATAATTGAGTATATGGTAAATCTATACAAGTTGTCTTTAACTTAAAAATGCAAGGGGCTTCAAAAACCTCATGGACAAATAGAGTTAAAAGATAATGGGATTTTTCCACAACCTTTTTGATTGAAGCCTTATGCATTTTGAAAAAGTGTACAGTGGAGCGAGGAGACAGGTGAGAACTTTGATACGTTCTCCACAGTTTTCCTCCTAGTGGAGTCCTGGCGTGGCACTGGACTGTTAACCGAAAAGTCGGCCATTCAAACCCAGTAGCTGCTCCTTGGAAAGCACACACAGGGTAGACAGGAATTGGAACTGACTCACCGGCACCTAATACCAACATTGGAAAACTGGGACTACACTTTGAGAAAGCATGTTACAGATGGAAGGGAAACGGTGGGTGAAGAGAATACATCACCCTACTCACAATAGTGCTGCTGGAGCTGTGTCTCAGTAAGAAACATCATCAAGTGGAAGGGAATGCTTGACCTCCAGGCTCATTGTTTTAGTTCTTAAGATACCCACTTACATGTAAACTCATTTCAGTTGTTTGAAATGATAACCTACTTCCTTCTGATTACCTTTCCTTTCTCCATTGGCTTTAGTTCCTTTTCAAAAAACAGTGGGACTATGCTATTGCATCATTTTGCAGTTTTTCTAAAAGGGTCAAAAATGCCATACCATTACTAAATTTTTATAAATAACTCCTCTACCTTTTGACTATGACATTATTTTGTTTTTGGTGAAAATACATTCATAGTTTCAGTAATTGCTTTTTGTTGTTGTTAATTACCATGAGTCAGTTCCAACTCATAGGACCCTGTATTGTGTTTCCTAGGCTATAGATCTTTTTTTTTTTTCTTTTTTTAATTTGTGAATTGAGTAATAGTTTACGTGGGAAAACATCAGTTTTACACGGATAGTTTCACTGCAATGATTACAATCCCCTCCGTGCATCATCATTCAATAGTATTTGCTTCTGTTCCCTCTGGGTTGTTTTGTTGTTGTTGTTGTTGTTGTTGTTTTGTGTGTGTGTGGTGGGGGAGAGGAGACATACACAAAGACACTCAGTGATATATAATCATTTAAACAACCAAAGGGCATATTCTCTGAAGCTGTAAATCTTTGCTGGAGCAGAAAACCTCATCTTTCTCTCTGAGTGGCTGGTGGGCTCCAACCACTAACCGTGTGGTTCGCAGTCCAGTGCTTATGCTATTGTTACATGTGCAGAATTGACCATGATCTTTTATATAATGTGTTTCTTCTCTTGGCATCCTTTTGCTTTCTAAACTGTTCTCAAGTTTGAACTCAGTATTGTATTAACTCTTGGCAAATCATATGCTCATGAATTGTCTAAATCATCTATCTGTTCATGTAGACCCCAGTAGCCAAAGAGAACAGGTTTGCCAAGCCTAAGAGAGTAGTTTGTTATTATTGGGTCTCATTTTTGTAATGCTGTTTTTTTGTTATTTTGAATCTGGGTTTGAGAATGTCACATTAATAACTGGATACTACGATTGCATTTTCTTGCCTCATTTTGCTTTGTTAGTGGAAGAAGTAACAGTGTTAGAAAGAACAGCAATACGTAGTATGTAGGAAGCTAGGTGTAAGAATGGAAGTGATAGGAAAGGCCAGTGCTTACCTTCAGCAATCTCATCATAAATCTTGGAGCATGATGACCCATTCCCCCATCATAGCTACCAGGCAGCTGCGGGGCTGGGAGCTCATCAGTTTTACACCATTTACAACAGAGAGGAAGAGTTCTGGAATGATGTGAATTGCCCGTGTTACATCGTTCTAGAACGCTTCCTCTCTGTGATTCCTGAGGGCTTCTCAGGAGCCTTTCTGGCTCAGTTATTTCAGCTCTTGAACCTTTAGTAAAGTATAACAACCTCATAGGTCAAAAGTCAGGAAACTTTTTCTGTAAATTCTCAGATAGTACAGTAAACCTATTAGGCTTTGTAGGCCATGTAGTTTCTCTTGCAGCTGCTCACTTCTGCTTTTGGAGCACAAAAGTTGCTGCAGACTGTAGAGTTGAACGTGACTGTGCTCCAGTAAAACTTCATTTGTAAAATCAGCTGTAGGCTGGATTTGGTCTTGGGGATTATAGCTTATCAACACCTGACATAGAAGAATGCTGTCAGTATGCCCTGAGTACGTACTTCTTCATGGTGAGGTGTCACAGGGAGAGCGTGGTATAAAGGTGAGAGGCATGCACATTGCACTCAGCCCAATTGGGTCCTTAGTAGCAGGGCAAATCACTAGCCTCTCTGTGCCTTCCATAGGGACAGTGATAGTACCTGTCTCACATGGTGATTGTGAGCAGTAGATAACTTAATTTTGTATAGTACTTACAAGGGGGCTTCAAAAAGTCCATAGAAAAATGGCATTGAAAGGTAACGGAATTTTTCCACAAACCTTTTGAAGCACCCACATAAAACAGTGCCTGGGACTTAGCATCCCACCCAGCTGCCATCAAGTAGATTGCTACTCAAATAGCAGCCTTTTTATAGGGTTTCTGAGACTGGTAATCTTTACAGGAGCAGACAGCTTCATCTTTCTCCTAAGGAGCTACTGGTGGGTTTGAACTACCGACCTTGTGGTTAGCAGTCCATCGCCTAACCCACAGCACCACTAGGGTGCTGTGGGTTGTTGTTAAGTGCTGTTGAGTCGATTTTAACTCACAGCAGCCGTATATATAGGGTTTCCAAGGAACACCTGGTGCGTTTGAGCTTCCGACTCTGTTATTAAGTGCTGTCACGTTGATTCTGATTCATAGTGACCCTATACAGGGTTTTCCGAGGCTGTAAATCTTTTTCCCATGGAGCAGCAACCTTGTGGTTCGAAGTCCAGTGTTTATCCTACAGAGTCCAACCCCTTGGGACATAATAAGTACATTCAGTAAGACACAGTAAATAAATAAGTGCATAAAAGATTATGAAAAATTTCCAAGACTTATAATTATATCAAGGAGCTCTGGTGGTGTAGTTCATCCTCACGGTCAGCAGTTCAAATTGAAACTACCAGCCATTCCACTGGATTAAAATGAGGGTCTCTGCTCCCATAAAAATTTACAGTCTCAGAAACCCTATACAGGGTCACTGTTGAGTCAGAACTGACTCTACAGCACATAACCACCACCTCCATGATTATATCAATTAAATTACTTTATAAAATGATCATGTCTCTATATATTGTTGTTGTTTAGTGCCGTCGAGTCGGTCCTGACCCATAGCAACCCTGTATAGGGTTTCCAAGGAGCGGCAGGTGAGCTTGAACCGCCTGCCCTGTGGTTCAGATCAACTTTGCAGTCCAGCACATCAACTTGCAGCATCACACCAAGACTCCTTTATATATAATCTCACTAGTATTACAAGAGTGCCTTTCTCTCTGCATCATCAAAAGTTTTAGGTCGAATAACAAAGGCAGAAACCCTGATGATATGAGTGGCAGAAATGCTGTTTAATTCTAACGGAATATTTTTGTGTTTCCTAATGAATAAATAAGTTGTGAATTTTAGCACTTTTTACTGCATTCTATGAGCTCTAAGGATATTAGCTATTATAAAAAAAGCAGATATTTTCTGAGGCTGTTTTCTGACTTTTCATCTTTTATAAGCTGTTCTTCTTGTTCTACCCTGAGTTTTTACAATGAACTTTTTGAAGTTGAAAAGCCTATTTTTGCCTCTGTTTTAAACATACATGGAGTATGCTTAAATACATGGAGTCCTGGTGTGGCACTTAACAGCAACAACAAGAAGCATGGCTTGATGAGTATAATCCTGATTTGACTGACAAGGCTGTTTTGTACATCTCCATAGTCTTGTGCAGGTCGGGGTCTAGACTGTTGCAGTTAGTGTAAAGCTTCAGGAGGAACCTGTCTTGTCATTTTTACTGCCTGTTTACATAATATGAAGTCATGTTGTCCACAGAAGTAATCCATGAACTTGGTCATCTTTATTCAAATGTTTATTGAGTGCTAAGATGAGGCTTTCTGCTTCTGTGAAGATTTAAAGCCTCAGAAACCATATACAGAGTTGCTATGAGTCTAAACCTGAGTCTAAACTGACTGAACTGTACTTAACAATAACAGTATGCATTAGAAATGGAATTCAAGGCCCTGGGTGAGGATTTCTGTCCCAAGAAAAATCAGCCTTTTGACGAGTAATTCCAAGCCATTCCACTTGCTTTTTAACCAGCATTATTTAATTGGCTCCGGGTGTGCTGCTGTCGGAGACGCATTGGACTTCGAACCACAGGGCTGGGAGGTTTAAATCTACTAGTTGCTCCTCAGATTTACACCCTCGGAAACCCTGTACAGGGTCGCTATGGGTCGGAACCGACTCGACGGCACTTAACAACAACAACAGTTGCTCCTCAGAAACCGTATGCAGTGTCGCTGTGAGTCAGAACTGGACTCAACGGCACTTAACAACAACATCTTAATTGATATAATATATTGATAAGGAGGAGACAACATTTACTTAGTGGAAATCAGCTTTCTCAAATACCAAAAAATGACTTGCACAGCCTTCTTCACAGGCACCCAAAAGATCCCAGTAGATCAAATCCAATCCCAAGTTGTCAGGAGAAGTTATTGAGTCTCCATGAGAAAGAAAGATCTGTGTGTCATACAGTTGTCTCTAGGGCTGCAGGTCTTAGGTGGTGTGCTGGGAAAGGTGGAGAGCATTCAGTAGGGATCTGCTCTGTGCCCCTACCTAGCCCAGTTGGATTATACTGGACTATGCACTGGAGCATGAGAGAATTCTCAGCAGTCAGAGTGGCCCAAGGAGCCTGGAAAGTAGCTCTCCTTTGAGGTCTATTCAAAACAGAGCATTCCTTTTTCTAGATGGCTAAAAGGGATGTGAGAGAGGACAGGAGTAAATTCGCTACTGTTGACTGTAGGCTGTGTGAATGTCATTTGCCTGTAATTATCACAGTCACTCTGGGAGCAATCACTTATACCCCGAATTCACAGAAGAGGAGATTGAGCATCAGAATGATGCATGGTCAGACTATTAGCGCTTGAGCCTAACTCCTGTAGTAGGGTAAGCACTGGGCTGCTAACTCAAAGGTGTTTGGTTCAAACCCACCAGCTGCTCCTCAGAAACCCTATCCAGGGTTTCTATGAGTCTGAACCCACTTGACAACACTTAGCAATAACAACCACCTGTCCCCAGTGGTCCCTCTGCCTTGATCTGTGATCTGGGGTTTGATTTTCCTGGTATCAAATAGCATGATTGTTGGATAAATTTTCATGTGAGCTAGAGATAAGGCTGTGCTGTGTTGGCACGTTAAAACAAATTTTGAATAGGAATAGCATGTTCAATGTGGATAACATGACACAGGGTGAAAAGGGCCAATCTGGTCCCTTGACAGATGCAGTTGACTAGAAATTCACTTGTCTTTCACTTTTCTCTTTCCTAAAACAGGACACTCCCGGGTTTATTGTCAATCGTCTGCTGGTGCCATACCTCATGGAAGCAATCAGGCTTTATGAACGAGGTAGCTGTCCCAAGTTGGCCGGGAACTTCAGGTCTCAGCTGCCTGAGCAGTTGCTACGGTGTCTTTAGGAAGGGAGGATGGGGAAGAGTAGAGGAAGGAGTGTGTGTGTTCTGTGTGAGTTTGGACCTTACCCCTCTGGACTCCACTGACCTGTGTCACCATGTTCCCAGGATCCGGATCCCCTGGGCTATTTGGGACCTCACTAAGAGTCCTTATGTGGCACTGTAGGAGAAGTGCAGGACTGAAAGGTCAGCGGTTCAAACTCAACCAGTTCCCCTGTACAGTGTCGTTATGAGTCGGAACCGACTCAACAGCACTTAACAACAACAACAGGAAGTCCCAACCAGAGCCATTCCACGGCCGACCTGGATTTCTGTTGTGGAACTCTGCTTTCAATTAAAAGATACACTGCTTCACAGGAACCAGGCATTTATCAGTCACTGGGCTAGGTGAGCTCTGACATTCCACAAGGCCCTAGATTCTCTGACAGTATGTGAGTGGTGGGAGTAAGGCACAAGGATGGTAAGTGACAAGGCTGGCCTAGGAGCCCTCTGTCCTTTCTGAATAGGACTGCAGTGCACCTTTTTAAAATAAATAAATAAATAAATAACCCTGGTATAAAATTTTTTCCTCAAAAATTGTTGATTGACAAAGAATAGCCTTCCTTGTTCTAGAAATACAAAGTTTGGGGCATGTCCCGGGGCTGTAAAATGACGTGTATCCTTCTGTCTGCCTTCTTCCTCGTTTCTCCGGAGGTACCTCTTCTGGCTGCTTCAAAGGTGTTAACAACAACAGCAACAAAAAATCCTTACTAAGACTGTATAAACAGCAAGTGTAATTGTTTTCAATTACTTCATTCACAAATGCCTGCTCCTGAGAATGTCACTTTTGAAACAAAACATTTACACCAGCTCTTCAGGGAGATAAAAGCGCATTTGCTTCCTCAAAATCTGCTACAGATATTAAAAGTTTGCTTTGTGGTTTATGGCAACAATTGCCTCATTTTAACTCCAAGATCAAACCAACATTTCTGTATTTATCAGTCAACAGATATGCCTGATTACACCTCAAAGGCAGTGTGAAGCATTTTTGCCCTACCTTGAAAGGCATTTAAAAAAAAAAAAAAATGAAAATAAATGCTGCTACAGTTTAGAACATAGCATGTGGGTGATCCCCCTCTGAATGGTGTTTTTCTCCCAGAACATACTGTCACTTTGATATATTTTCAAACGTTCATGTATCTGATTATAAGTTGGGAACCATTTTCTTATCCTCTGCTTCTCTGGTAGCGAAGAGGTTACAAGTTGGGCTGCTAACCTCAAGGTCAGCAGTTTGAAACTACCAGCTGTTCCGCGGGAGAACGATGAGGCGTTCTGCTCCCATAAAGATTAACAGCCTCAGAAACCCTGTGCAGGGTCGCTATGAGTCAGAACCGACTCCACGGCACATAACCAACTACCCAATTGCTCCCCCCAGCAGCAGCGGTCCCTTTCTAAACAGGTGCATTCTCTGAGACCCTCCCCATCCATCTGACCTCTGTGAGGTGTGATGGGAAGGGCAGTATCTGGCCCCTTTTTGCTCGTGAAACTGACAACGGAGTCCTCATTGTTGTTTCCTTTGCCTTCTGGGGGCCTGTGAACCAGCACATCCTCTTCAGAGGGGGCTGGGCCTCATGTCTGAGCTGGGTGCTGCTTTTCAGTAATTCACAGTAAGCTTTCTTTCGACTTTTTAGCTTGCACCTCAGGTTTCGTCCACGTACCTCTGCTGCCTCTCTGTTTCTCCCCATTTCAGCCGACACTTGAGAGTGCTTAGTGACATGCCTGCCTCCCGGTCTCCATTTACCTGCTGCTCAGCTGCTCTGAGCGTCAGTTCCACATTGAAACCTGAAATTGCCTTAGGTGCTTTCTCTCTTGGGTGCACATCTGTGCACTGGCCACTTTTGATTCATTCCTGTCATGCCTGTTCCATCTTTTCATTTCTTACCTTTCCAGATGCCAGTCCAGCTGCCCAAGCTCTTTCAAGCAGCAAAGGAGCTCATGTTGTATGTCCTTCCAAACAGGTATCCTTTGTAACTCAGTCTTCTTCCATGCTTGCAGGAAAAGTGTTGTCACAGAAATATAGGGCACACATCTAGGGCTGAGCATGCATATTTTTACAACCTCTGTAGTGTGAACACTGTGACGTCATTTAGCCCAGCCTTTCCCGAATGCACTGGGGAGAAAACCTTTGTGACAACACTCTTGATGTTCCCAGGGTTGTGGAGTGCTCCACCAGCACATGTTATCAAGTGCTGTGCTGTCTAGTGGAGACTTCTCGTACCATGTGTGCCATATTAGAGGAGAGAATCATTTCAGCCATGGACCAGTCAGGTCTCCTGTAGACTGAGCAACTTTTGGGACGCCACAGGACCTTCCAACGAGTGCTTCTGGACACTCCAGTGGCGGCTCATCAGCTCTCTCTTTCCACTGCCCTGACTTCTGCTGTGCCATGGCTTCTTTCTCAGTGTCCTTCAGCTTCTGTCCTTGGTCTCATTCATTCAGAACAATTCTTTATCTCTGAGGGCCTGCTTGGTGCAGTTACCCACTTTTGTTCCTATGGGCAGAGCTCTCTCTCCAGACCTTTTGAGTAAGCTCATGCCCAACAGTGGACTTGCCGCCCCTGTCAGTCACCCACTGCAATTGGTCAATCTGGCAGCGTTGGGGGACCACCTGGCTAGCTCTCCTCAGGAGGGCTGTGCTGATGGCAGCCCCTGGTAGTGTATTGAGCCTGTCTCCCATTCACTGCATGGTATCTTGCTCAAGACACCCTTGCCAGACAACCTTCTCTCCTCACTTTGTGCCCCTGCTGAGTCGCTTTCACCTTTCTCACAGGCCCCACCTGAGTTTCCTCAGTGTCCAAACTGGATGTCATTGTTGTTGTTATAACTCACTGTATGCTTTTTCCATCCTCATGGGGCACTTGTCACTATCTTTGCTGCAGCATGTGCTTTATCATGGTGTATTGTTTTCTGGGGCAATGTCTGGGCCTCCTCATCGCTACACCCTAAAGTGCTTGATGAGTAACTGTTGGTGAGTAAAGTGGCCGCACTCCATTTCTGCTCCGTGGTGTGAGACCAGTTTGTTGTTACTGCCAAGAATGGCTGATAGGTGGTGCTGATGAGCCAATGGCCGTATGTCTCAGGTCCTGGGTCCTAGCCTAGAAAATTTGAAAGTTCACTGAGAAAGCTTTTCTTTGTTGTCCAACATTACGGACTCTCAGCCTGGGGGAGAGGGAGTTCCCTAAGGTTGGTGTAGAATTCTGTGTGCATGTGCATTGTTTTCTGGAGAGTGTCAAAGTCTCGGAGAAATAAATAAAGAAATTGAGGAATTATTAGTCTAAAACATGACATGGCATGTAACCCATGCTTAACAGCAGTCTGCACATGTGCATTTTGTTTCTCTTTATTTTAGTCTTTGCAACTGTTTCATTTTGTAGTACTCAGAACAGAATTTTTACATTTTCACTAACTATAAAACTGATTGGAATCCTGGTGTGGCGTGGGAGGATAAGCACTTGACCTCAAGGTGGGTTTGAACTGCAAGGTTTGCGGTTCAGTCACCAGCCAATTCTCGGGAACCTTATACAGGGTCTCTGTGAGTTGGAATTGACTTCATGGCACATAACAACAACAGCATGAAACTGGTTAGATTTTTCCATAATATGCTGTGTCTTAACTCTTTTTTTGAAATAACAATAGTCTCAAATGCTTCTCTGAATCGCAGCCCTGTCACTAGGGCTAGAATTCACTGTACTGTCCCCTCCGTGGATATAAATTTGGTTAAGTAACTAGTTAACTGGAACCATTATATAATCAGATTTCTGCCCCCAAGGAGCTTGCCATTTTCATGAAAGGAGACAGAACATAATAAATAACATGTTACACTCCGATCCGTGGTAGTGGAGAAAAGTAAAGTCAGTGGGATAGCTGGGAGTCCTAGCCTAGAGTTCAGCAGTTGTAGATTTTTTTTTTTTTTTTTTGTCTTTTATATACAAGGGGGTATCAAAACACTCATGGGAAAATGGAATTAAATATAATGGAAATTTTCCATGAACTTTTGAAGCCGTCTCTGATCAAACAAGACTTGAGCAGAAAACTGAAAGAAGTGGGGTTTGGGCCATGTAAATATCTGAAGGCAGAGTCTTCCAAGCATAGGGACTAACAGGTGCTAAGTGGCTGTGAACTCCAGTGTTCTGGTCATAACACCATGGAAGTCACCTGGGTCTAACGAAATATTCTGCGCCCCACATATGCCATGTTCCGTCTCACACCTCTTTGGCATGTGCTTCCACTCTGTCTGGAGTGTCCTTCTCACCTGCCCTACACTTGGGAGTCTCTTCATCCATGAGTGCTTGGTGGTTTATGTGAAGTTGTGGCAGTTTGCGTAAATCTCTCTCTCCCCTCACACAGAACCTTGTGAATGTTAGTGAATTTCAGTTCTTGTTAGGTTGAAAGTTTTGATAGACACACCTGAGTCCTCACTGTATCATGAGCTCTTGAAGGACTTGTCCTGTTTTTCTTCTTTTCTCTCTCTTTGCTTGATACATATTGTCATTGTTGTGTGCCACCGAGTTGGTTGCACCTCATAGCAACCCTGTATAAGGTTTTCAAGGAGTGGCTGATGAGCTTGAATAGCCATCATTGCAGTTCAACCTGACCTTTCAGTCCAGCGCATTAATCCTGAGTGCCACACCAGGACTCCAAGTTCCTAAGTCAAATGCATCAGTTCCTCTATAGTATTCCTTATTCATTGTCCACACAAATCTTTGTAGGGGAAGGGTTAGAGAAATAGAAATGCTCTCATAAGCGTATAGATCTAAATGAAGGATAAATTGAAAAATACTAGTTTCACATTTTGGTATTTTTTTTTTAAATAAAGGTTTCTATGCTTTTGTTTAACAGTACTTTTTGACTTACTTTTGTATAGGATCATCCTTTGCTTTCTTATAGCCTAAACTCAGACCATAATTTTCAGAATTCTCTGGTTGACTAATTTATGCAGTACTAGTAATGCTACTCATAAAAACTAATTGGGTAGTATTTTCATTTCATCACCTTGAACTACCTTGAAATCCTTTGGCTTACATTATTATTTTATATACCTTGATAAATACGGTCTTTATAGATGTTTAAGCAGTTCCTGCTCTTTGTGCCCTAAAAGTCTGCCATTTTTAGGTACACAATCCTATCTGAGTTTTTTAGCATCCTCCCCCCCTCAGCTAGCTTTAGTATGGTAGATTACTATTTTATGTTGAAACAAAATTCTGGATAGCTACTGTTAGATTGTTGTTGTTTTTAGGTACTACCAAGTCGGTAGTGACTCTGTGAACAACAGAACGAAACACTGCCCGGTCCTGTGCCATCCTCACAGCTGTTATGCTTATGCCCATCGCTGCTGTCAGTGTGCCAATCCATCTCTTTGGGGGTCTTGCTCTTTTTCTCTGATCCTCCACTTTTTCAAGCATGATGTCCTTCTCCAGGGGCTGGTCCCTCCTGAAGTATGTCTACAGTATGAGAAATGAAATCTCGCCATCCTGGCTTCTAAGGAGTATTCTGGCTGTACTGCTTCCAGGATAGATTGGTTTATTCTTCTGGCAGCCCCATGGTACTTTGAATATTCTCCTCCAACACCACAACTCAAATGTATTAGTTCCTCTATAGTCTTCCATATTCATTGACCAACTTTCACATGCATATGAGGCTATTAAAAATACCAGGGTTTGGGTCAGGAGCACTTTAGTCCTCAAACTGGTACTGTTAGGTTGTTGCTGTTGTTACGTGCTATCGAGAGTTGGTTCCTACTCACAGAAACCCTATACAGGGTTTCTGAGGTGTGGCTGGTGAGTTTGAACCACAGACCTTGTGGTTAGCAGCCCAGTGGTTGTCCTACAGCACCACACCACATTACACCCTACAAATCTTGACAGAGGCAGACTGCTCGTCTTTTTCCTAACAACTTGTGGGTTTGAAATAACAACCTTTTTTTGGCTTCGCAATTCAACACGTAACCTATTATGCCACCAGGGCTCTGTGAACCAGGTAGCCATGCTCTAGAATTAAGCTCACGGTGAAATAGCTGTGAGTATTCCATGATCTCTTTAGCTTGTACTTGGTGACCTCTTTGGCTTGTATTTCCGAGATGAAATCTCACCCCAGTCAGAAATCCTGACTCTAGGAGTTTTTTTGATTCAGAGAGACTTGAGGGAATGATGGTGGTGACACAGAGCTGCCCTTTCCTCCCAGGTGATGCATCCAAGGAGGACATCGACACTGCTATGAAGTTGGGAGCTGGGTACCCCATGGGCCCATTTGAGCTTGTTGACTATGTTGGACTGGATACTACAAAGTTCATCTTGGATGGTAAGAATTGGAATTGTCCATTTTCTGTCTTTTACTGAGGTGAGGTAGTATCTGTGGACTATTTAAAACAGAAATTGTCATGAGTCTAAGCAGACCATCATGAGTTTATTTCTGTGCTTCACCAGCTTACGGGTTCAGGTTAGATGCCACCGAGCCGGTTCCAACTCATAGTGACCCTGTATCAAGTTTCTGAGGCTTTTTAAGTCTGCATGGGATCAGAAAGCCTCATCTTTCCCCGTGGCATAGCCAGTGGGCTCACACCATGGACCTTGTCGTCCACGGTCCATTGCTTATCCTGTGGAGCAACAGTGCTCTAAATAGATGGTGGTTGTGTAGTACCTCCTAACAGGATAACCTCTTTTATTTTAAAATAATTAGACAGTCACAGGAAGTTGCAAATATAGACAGGTATTTGGTGTTCTTCACTCAGTTTTCCCCAGTGGTTACATCTTATATAACCATAGTATATAACACCAAAGCCAGGAAATTGACATTGATATAATGTGTCACTTAACACTTGGTATTGGTGTAGCCTCCAGTGTAATCAAGTACGTAACGGCTTTTGTAAATGTGCCCATTTTAAGAAGCTCTGGTAGCGTAGTGGTTACAGTTAGGCAGCTAACCTCAAGGTCAGCAGTTCGAAACTAACAGCTGTTCCGCAGGAGAAAGATGAGGCTTTCTGCTCCTGTAAAGATTTATAGCCTTGGAAACCCTATGAGTTGCTATGAGTCAGAACTGACTCCACAGCACATAGCCACCACCACCACCATTTTAATGTAGTGATTCTGAAGATGGCAAAAATAACCATTAAAGCTGGAGTGAAGTCAAATGTAGCTCACTACTTAAAACTCCTGAAGTCACATATGGCTTATTACTACCAAGTTTCATGAAGAATACTTGCATATTTGAGAGAACTGTGAAATGACATTTTGAATCTTACAAGGATATAAAATAACCAGCAGTAGAACGTTCAGATTTTAAACATGTATTCTGAAAGTTGTCTAAATATGTCACTAAGGAGCCAAAAGAAATTAACTAGCTCTGCTAATGTTTTGGATCTTCTGCAAACTGAAGTATGACATCAGTGATTATCAAGAATGCCCTGGATAAACAGGAGGGCCCTCTGAGGCAGGCCTCGAGCCTCACTGCCTCGTGAGCAACCTTACTAGGGAGATGTGACTGGGCCAGCTATGCCTGAGTGGGCCCACATCTGAGGGGCTCTCCCACATCAGAATAGAAGCTCTTTTCTCCAAGCTCTGTCAGACTTGCCCTGGGAATACTAAGGCATAAAAAGTAAATGCAGGACTTTGTCCTAAACGCTTTCTTTCCTCCAATAGGGTGGCAAGAAATGGATGTAAAGAACCCCTTGTTTCAGCCCAGCCCAACCATGAATAAGCTGGTAGCAGAGAAGAAGTTGGGCAAGAAGACTGGAGAAGGATTTTACAAATACAAATGATGCACACCGTCTCTGGCTCCTAGGAGAGCCCGTTTAAGCGTGTACCAGCCAGCTGCCCAAGTGCCCTCAGGAATGCTCTCTGGTCAGATATTCTCTCACACCACACAATCTGTTCAGTGTGCATTTTGATTGTGTCCTGTCTGAAGTCATTATTTACATTAGTTACATTAATAACAGATTTCTTCGTTTAAAACGAATTTCCTTTTTTAGCCTTTTCATTTGAGTATTTCTTAAAAAGCTTTATATACCCTTGGTGCCTTGGAGCAAACATTTCTTTTGAATCTTTTCATTTTTGTAAACATGTGCCTGCGTTCATTTGTGAAGGAAAAAGCCTTCCTCTGAATGCACACTGTTTTCATCATTGCCTCACAAGAGAGTCCTGAGCCATTGAGATATGTTCTGTCTGTGAAATGTGTCTGAGAACATGTACCGGCAGCTTCAGGTCTTACCCGGCATTCTGGGCAGGACAGAGATGTTTTGTCTTTATTCATCTCAGCATCAGGATGCTGCTGCTCGATTGGGAATATCTGTGGGCTGCGTTGACAGGAGAGGTCTGGTTTCATGGTCATTCACATCTGCAATCTTAATGATTACTGTCGCTTTCCTTTTTCAATATCAGTATATTAAAACTGCCTATAAATTGACTTTGATATTATGTAATCTTCTAATCTGTAAAATTTTAAATTGAAAATAAAAATATGTGTAATTTTGAATCATAATTAAGTGTTATGAGTTGCTAATTAGAAGCTCTGGTAGCATAGTGGTTACGAATCAGGCTGCGAACCTTAAGGTCAGCGGTTCGAAACTACCAGCTGCTCCGCGGAAGAAAGATAAGGCTTTCTACTCCCGTAAAGATTTACACCCTCAGAAACCCTGTACAGGGTCACTATGGGTCGGAACCGACTTGATGGCACTTAACAACAACAACAATGTAAGCAAAAGCTGTGCTCTGCCTTTTTTGACTCAGTATTGTTATTTGGAGTCCTGGTGTGGCACTGTGGGTTAATGCGCCAGACTGCAAAGCCGTTTGAACTTCAAGGTGGATGGTTCAAGCTCACTAGCTGCTCCTTAGAAACCCTATACGGGGTCACTATGGGTCGGAATCGACTCAATGGCACTCAACAACAACACTGTTATTTTAAAGCAACAGTGTTCGGAAAGGAACTGTAGGGGACGACATTCATGGATTAACCTGCCTGTGTTACGTCTACACTTCTTAGCAGTAAAGCAAGAAGGGGGAACAGAGAAAGTCTTTTAAGGAGCATCTGTTTCTTCTTTGTCAGCAAAGTCAAAATAATGTAATACAAGCCTCTTTTAATCATTGGCCTGCGAGAAGTGTCTTCCAAGATGGAATTTTGAAGCTGGAAAGATGTGTCTCAGAGAGCTTAAGCGATGTGTCCAAGATCCCTGAATGTTTTGTAACAGCCACGGTTAGAAGTAGGTTGTGATAATACAATTAAATACAAGATAGCTAATTTGAAAATCTCAATCCTGAGTTGCAGACCTGGACATCATGGTTTGAATGAAGTTTTTTTGTTTTTTACTCTATGGTTAATAAAAGGGAGATTATACATTTTTAAAATTTTGAATCTAATTATAGCATAGTATGAAAATAACTACACTTGTGCTTACATTTCTACCACACATGGAACCTGGTTTAGGAAACGTTGGGTTATTCTTATAAACGTTTCCTAACGAAAAAAGGAAGCACCTGTGAAGCCACGAGCATTTCCATTAGTAAAGGTTACCCTTGTGCTCTGACAGCTCCCTGCACACTGCAGCAGACTCTTGACCTTTGACATGAGCCCTGGATGTAGGAGGAGGGAGCTTTGCTTTCACTCTTTGACCAGTGTCCTCATAGGATGTGACCCTTGCCCTGGAAACGGCAGGACTATTTCTCAACCACTGACTGAATTCCAGGAAAGACATTTTTCTGATTGAAATTTTTAAATGCACTTGTAGCCTACTAAATTAAAAAAAGCCATGCCTCAGTGTCTTCTTATCCTTTTCAAAATACCGATTCCATGCATTCTGCTTGGACTGGGAAGGCATTTTGAAAACCTTTTTGTCCTTACACACGAAAGATCGGTGGGGCTGGATCGGTGGGGCTTTCTCCATGTCTTTGCTCTCTCAGGTGAGTACAGCTGCTTCCTACAGGGAACTCTCTGGACTGAAGGAAAGTCGTCTCAGTCAACTCCTCTGCTTCCAAATATGGACCAACTGCACATGGAACTTCTGCTGTTTGCCTCCGTCTGTGGCTCAAAAGTGAACATTACTAAGAACCCCAACAGGCCGAATGTTTGGGGCACACTTGTTTAGGGACAGGCTGAGACCAGACAGTCCTGCTGGGCTCCTATCTCTCTGCTGCCATTTCTCCTCACTCCCCAAGCATACCATGAGCCTTCCATAGACTGTTTTAAAGTACCAGGTTTCCATGGTACTTTTTCCTCTTCTACTCCTTCCTCTTAGAATTATGTATGGATATTTAAGATTGCAAATAAAACCATACCATTTGTGAAATGTCTTGTTGAATAAGACTTGAGAGCCACTGAGCAGAGCTTTCACCTATACTGCAATTACGTTTCCTGAAATGGAGTTCTTTAAAGAATGGTCTTAATACCAATTTCTCAGGGAAAAGTGGTTATTTTTAACGTCAATTATGAGCTATATTTGCAGTTTTAGAACTACTAAGTGGCTCAGCATGAGGCTAAAGGTGGGTAAAGTTCCAAGCGTTGGAAGACAATCTATATTAAAACAGTCTGGTGAACAAAATGATTCACTGCTGAGATCTGTCAGTGAATTTCTAACTCAGAAGTTGATTTTCGATTGAGCCCCACTCATAGTTGATAGGGTAAGACTAATATGTTAGTCACATTTTTTCAGCATACAGTAACTATGTTTTCTCTCTATGTTGAGTTAGAAATTTGAAACAAGTTTTTGTCTTGTTCCACCTTGGTTTTAATCCACTTAATATTTCAACTAAATAACCAATTAAATCTACCAAAAATGCAAGGTGTGACTATAATTTCACAGGACTTTCTTGTAAACAAGTATTGAGAAACATACACAGTAATCTTACAAATATTTTGAACAGTGGAAGCTTGCTTGTATTTTCAACACATGTTTTGAAAGGCAGAACCCATGTGGTTATCGAGATCATTTTTTAAATCAGTCTCAATGTTTTCATCAGCACAGTTTTTGTCTTTATTTTAGCAACTTTTGTTAACTGAACACCTACCATTTTTAGATAGTATGTTGTTGTTATTAAGGTGCCATCAAGTCAGTAGCAACTCATAGCGACCTTATGCACAGCAGAATGAAACACTGCCCGATCCTGGGCCAACCTCACTACTGTTGCTACGTTTGAGTCCATCGATGCTGCCGCTTGGCCAATCCATCTCATTGGGGGTTTTCCTCTTTTTCTCTGACCCTCCACCTTACCAAACATGATATCCTTCTCCAGCAACTGGTCTCTCCTGACAATGTGTCTAAAGTATGAGAGACAAAGTTTGGCCATCTTGGCCTCCAAGGAGCACTCTGGCTGCACTTCTTCCAAAACGGATCTATTAGATCTTTTGGCGCAGCCCATGGCACTTTCAATATTCTCCTCCAACACCATAGCTCACAAGCATCAATTCTTCTATGGTCTTCCTTATTTACTGTCCAGCTTTCACATGCACATGAAGTTATTAAAAATACCATGACTTGGGTCAGGTGCACCTTAGTCCTCAAGCTGACATCTTTGCTCTTCAACCCTTGAAAAAGGTCTTGTGCTGCAGATTTACCTAATGCAATACGTCATTTGATCTCTTGACTGCTGCTTCCATGAGTGCTGATTCAAGAAGAATGAAGTCCTTGACAACTTCGATCTTTTCTCCGTTGACAAGAATGTTGTTTATTGGTCAAGTGGGTCTTGACATTGAGATGTAATCCATACATCTTTGTGCTCTTTGATCTTTATCAGTGAATGTTTTAAGTCCCCTTTAAGCAAAGTTGTATCATCTGCATATAGATAGTATGGTGATGTGGTGTGGAGTCTGCTCTGACCCATAGCGACCCTGTACAGGGATTCCCAGGCTGTAAAGCTTTATGGGAACAGAAAGCCTCACCTTTCTCCCATGGAACAGCTAGCAGTTTCAAACTGCTGACCTTAAGGTTCGCAGCCCGATTTGTAACCATTATGGTACCAGAGCTCCTTTAGCAGAGTTTAACTCCTGAAAGACATACAAATCATCAAGTTTTTATTTGAAATTACTTTAGTTGCTGTAGTAGTCTCAATAAATGATTAATACTCCAGACCTGGAGTCCTGGTGCAGCACTGTGGATTAATGCGCTGGACTGCAAGGTCAGTTTGAACCACAAGTTCAGCAGTTCAAGCTCAGCAGCCATTTCTCCAGAACCCTATACCAGGTTACTATGAATTGGAACCGACTTGAGAGTACTTAACAACAACAACAACCACAGACTTTGGAATTAAAACAGACTTGGGTTCTAATTCTCAGTTACCAGTCTATCTCTGAAACATTGGGATTATTGTGTTCTGCAGGTATCTGCTGATGGAACCTCTCCCATGGGGTTGTTGAGAACCACATGAGATGATGGTTTTCAAGATTTGAGCACATTACCTGGTGTAGTCAGGCTAGTTGTGGCCAACCTCCCTCTATGCCCAGCTTGGAAGGAGGCCACAGTCCCTAATTAGTTACAGTCCACCCTGAAACCTTCACACTTGTGGGGAATAGACTGACAATTTGGAACAGGCTCAGCTGTCTTTAAACAGAGAATCTTAGAAGATAAGATGTTGGGCCACCTTGTTGTTAGGTGCCTTCGAGTCACCTCTGACTCTGTAGTGGCCCTGTGCACAACAGAACAAAACACTGGTCCCACGTCAATTGTCAGTTGTTATGCTGGAACCTATTGCTGCTGCCGTGGTGCCAATCCGTCTCACTGGGGCCTTCCTCTTTTTGGTTAAACCTCTGCTTTACCAAGCCTGATGCCCTTCTCCAGGGACTGGTCCCTCCTGGTACCATGTCTGGAGTATGAGAAACCAAATTTCACCTTCTTGGCTTCTAAGGAGCGTCTGGCTGTACTTCTTCCAACACAGATTTGTTTGTTCTTCTATCAGTTCCTGGTACT